AAAACATATTCACAAAATGCACGTTGATAGCATTGTACTGAATTATTGTGTGTTCCCTTCTCAGCAGGAAATAGAAGACCTTAAAGCAAAACTGGGTGGCATATCTTCTGACGAATCGAATCTTGACACAAAAATAGAAAGGAAGAAAGCAGATTTGGACCGACTACAAAAGAGACTGATTCAACTGCAGTCGGTGAGGTAAATTTATGAATTACTTTAAACTTAATGCGGTTACGTTGCTTTAAACGCACCGATGATTACTGTTTGCGTAAGCCAAGACCTTCTGACAAAGAAAAATCACACCGACAGATGCCTTCTTCACGTCAGAGCGTTGTTGTTTGTCATCATTATCCTTAATTGCACTACAGTGCTGCAAGCTTCTTATATCTGTGATGTCCACTCATCACAAGGTTCAACATTGAGGTGGCGTTTATTGGTCAAAAATGGTTTTTTTATCATCGCATATTTCTTATCATTTCATATTTTGGCAACATTATTACGTGGAATTCGCACATTTTGACCATCACACCACGAAAAATTTCATTTTTGTTCATTTTGTGGTTTTGTGGCATTTAATCAACCACTCTCCATTCTACCAAATTTTTCGCCGTGTTATCCAAAACTCGTGCTGTCTCCTTTGAGGAGAGAGGACACGGCAAAAACTATTCAGCGCTTTCGGTGATAAAGGGATTTGTTAATTTTTTGGCCTCAAATCTTTCCTCGTGAACTTGGATTGAGTACGCCTTTCTTAAAAGTACAAGCATTTCAGTTCGAGTTGAAATTGCTTCGTTAGCCGACCGTACAGAATTAGTGACGGACTTTCAGACCATCGTTGCGACTCGGAATCCGCGGTCAGTCGTACTTCGTTCTTCAACGGACGATGATAGAATGCAGAGAGTAGAGAACTCTAACGACGATATATATTAATGAGTTGTAGTTCGGTTTATTTGCCTCATAATCCATTGTATACTTCAAAGAACACCTTAACTCACAAGACGTTGCGGGTCAGCTGAGATGGACCATGTCTTCCTCATGGAACAAAATATTTTGAATCCTCATTCAGCCTTTTTCATGTCGATACACCAATATTGATATTTTGAACTTCATCACTCGTCCTGCTACTCACTTCCTCGACCGTTCATCGCTGAGCGTCTCTCTGTACTGTCGTGTCTGTTTGTTTCAATTTCTCTATTTTCTTTTAATTATCCAAGTGAAGTCATAATTTCTCCTCTTCAACCTTTTCGTTCAGGCCTGCCTTCATGGATGAATACGAAAAATTAGAGAGCGAATTTCGGATGGTCTATGATCAATACGTTGAAAGCTTTTTGAACCTTGCCTACCTGACTGCAGCACTCGGTGGAAAGTCCGGCGAACCAGTGACAACGGTCGAGGTGAGTCAAACGCCGGGCGGCTTTGCTTAAAATTTATAGGGCAAATAAATGACCATTCCCGCAGGTTTCTCCTACCAACAGCAAGTTGAACAAGCAAGATAGCAGACCGGGACAGCCTGTGCACGATGTAGAGCGAGTTCCCATTGGAGAAAGCAACATCGAAATTTGGAAAGAGAAAAGAGGTAAGAGGTCGACCAGTCACAGTCTTAGATTTTCTATCGTAAATGAATGAATACAACTGATTTTACAGAAAGGCCACAGATTTTAACCTCGGTTCCGAGTACGGAAGTTTTTGAAATGGAGTCAGAAGCAATGGTAAGAACTAATTCAGGATGCATATTGTCGTTGTCAGCGTCACATAATGCTAAACATGGTCTGAGAGTCAAGACGTGGGTTATATCTCAAAACGTGAAGCTTCTATATGTCTTAAAAGTTTTATGCAAAGACAATATTCCTCATAGACAGCAGGTTTGTCTCGGTGCTACCGTGCATCTGTTCGTTTGTCCGCAGTCTTGCTGTAATCATGAATGAATGAATGAATGAATGAATGAATGAATGAATGAATGAATGAATGAATGAATGAATGAATGAATGAATGAGTGAATGAATGAATGAGTGAAAGAATGAATAAATGAATGACTGATCGATTGACTGATTGATTGAGTAAATTGCGGAATGAACAAACGGACCAATGAACGAGGGAATGAATAAGTGCGGCACGCATGAACTGGCGGATAGAAAAATGAACAACTGCCTAGACGAATAGTGTGAAAATTTAACTGTACGAATCGAATCAGCAATCAGTAACATTTTTTGATCATTATATCATAATGACATAATTCCATATATGATGAGGAAACTTTTAAGACCTATAGGTCTCTGATTCCGTTTTTGGTAGCCTGAAAATTCGTAGAATTAAAAGACGTATCAATTTCAATGCATCCACGGCATGGTATTGGTATATGAGCTTATTGTTATCATTCAAGACGGAAATTTATCCTGAGTAATTATAGCTCAACGCTCATTGATACTGCTAATATGTCGTGCAGAAATTAAGTGATTTACCTGCACACTGAATCATAACGGAACGTTCATTACCCATAACCTTGCAGAGATAATATTTCCTTAGGGTAATGACTCGAGCAATGAATATGAAGATGATGAAGACGACGAATTACTACTCGAGTCAGAATATCAAGAAACAAACGAGTTACCTTCCAAAGAGGTTGGAGCCCCAATCAGAGCTTCGGATCAACTCAATGAGGACGAAGAGCACGGCTTGTCCGGCCTAAAGGATTCACCCCGGCTGCAAAGCGAGGAAACTGAAGAGTCTGAACATGAATTTGAAATTATATGATCGTCGGATAATATATGCATGTCACGTTCGTATGTCTGATAAAAGTAAAGTAGCAAAGTATGACAATTGCAACCATGCTCACGAAATACAGTCTTTCCCGCCATTCTGAAGTGTTAAGATGGTACAAGGACTCATATATGATGTGGTTTCTGATTTAGCTGTCAGAAGTTTAGTAGAGCAGGTTTTAAAACGAAAAGCCACTTCAGATCTAAGAGATATCTGATCGAATTTTACGGATCGCCTGTACGGGAGTGTGGGAGGTTTTCGTGTTTACTATGCACATGTAAATCTCTTTAATCTGAATTGAGTTGGATTAAATTCAGGTCATGGCAAGTGAGGATCAGTTTCCGCAGAATGTTATTGAATGCTCCTCCGTATACCTGAAATGCCGGCCGGCATTCAGGCTCCAAAGCAGCCTGTCACTCAGCTATACGACGTGTCAGATTCCAGACTCGGCTCTGCTCAGGCCCTGAACGTCATCAGACAGTGCATCACTCAGCCATACGGTACACAAAACGGAAAACTATTATTATATTAAGCTTTGAAATAGCAATTAGACCTCGCATAACTTGAAAGGTACCGCGGGTTGGTATTTCTCGCTGAAGTGAATGTTTGAATCACAAGACTTCCACTAGGGGGAGGGGGTGAAAATCCTTTATATCATATATTTATATACATAGCCTAAGTTCTTTCATAATTA